GAAGGGCCAAGGGACTGGCAAATAATGTTCATTATAATGCGGTTTTGTTGTATCGAGGTTCTTTTCCATATATTTCACTATTACTGGGGTGAAGAATATTGCTTGTTATACCAAGGACTTTGTTAAATAGAGGTTCGTTAAGTTGAGGTTCCACTGTATTTAGCCTCATTTATGAACCAGCTGTTTGCAGAGCACTAGATTTTTTTTTGCATTGGGCAGAAAACTCGTGAATGAATTCAATCTCATGCTCACATGAAAAAACTTAGTTCTCACAAATCTAAATTCTTTTATTTTCCCTTCGACTCTCATATTATAAATTGAGAAGGAAAAATTACTTGTGACAACATTATGTTAGCTTACCACATCCTAAGAATGAGACTGTGAAACTGTTCTTTGGAACATCTTTGGAAATCTTTCTTGAATATGGCAGGGATCAATAATCGCCTGCCTTTGACTTGGAGAAACCTGGCAGTTAAACAGGTGCCACAGGCCTGCAAACCTGACAAAAATTAATTAAAACCTAGGAAATTTGAATTGACTAGATTACTCATCAACTCTACCGGGCACTGCTAAAGTCATTGCCTCAATATATTTATGATTTAAACCAACCGAAAACAGTCGGAAAGTTTTCAGAAATAATGAATCATACATACATGTATATAACTTAATTACATGTCAAATTTTGTAGAGAGGAAAATGTCTCCCAACTAGTGGTGTTCACCTAACTAATAACTCTATTTTTACAAATTATTTACTAGCTATGTATTAAAGAATTAAAAAAAAATTGATATGTACAACTCTTAAAACTATATATACACTGTAAATATCAACATATTAAAATAAGGTGAGTGTATTTGTGTTGCAACCCTTCATCTTCACCTGTCCCCTGGCGCCAAGTTGGCGCATAGGGCCTGTTGCAACCCTTACTAAATACAATGTGTATTGCTAAGGAGGGTAGCAAATCCAGTTTCAAATTGAGTTAAAAGGAGCTCAATGAGTATGACGGTATTTTGAGTTATTTTGGGGGTGCACAGAATGACGAACTTGAAAAATTTAGCCTAAACTTTTCAAAATGTGCAAACCATGAAGTAGCTCCTTTAAAAGATGTGGGGTTCACAATTTGAAGAGTGAGAAATAAATGGAAAACTTTGCCCAGTAAGTAACTTGCTTCTACAGCTTTCAGGTAACGCAGGTAATGCTGGCAACCATTAAGACAAGATTATCACTAACCACTCTTAACAAGAGTGATTACCACAGACTTCCAGCTCCTGAAGAACTCAGATGTTTAAGTTTACCATGGGGATGCGCCAATCCCGCTGTTCCGGGTATTCATTTGGGCCAACTGGCATATTTGTCCACTTGGCCTGTTCCACATCGATCTTCACCCCTCTGATCCTCAATCTGGCTAAACTCGCCTCGGAAATATCTCTGCAATCCCTAACTTCCAGAATCGTTAACAAAGGGCAGTATTCCCCGACCATTTTCACGGCAGAATTGGAAACCCGCCAGCAACCTCTTATTCCAAGATGTGACAGTTTAGGACACGATTTAGCGACGATTCGAATACAGTTATCGCTAACACCGTAGCAGTCGTTAAGAACAAGCGTCTTCAAGCCATTGCAACAGGAAGCTAGCGACGAAACACACAAGTCCGTAACCTCCCAACAGCCAGCGAGATCGACGTGCTCAAGGCTGATGCAGCACAGGGATACCTGAGTAACTGCATCGGAAGAAACCCAGCGACATTCTCGTAACCTTAACACTTTCAAACCCCGGTTACATTCCGCCAAGGTGAACAGCGCTAAGTTTGTTAAACCTGAACAAGCAGTGAGATCTAGCTCGCAGAGTCGTGTATTTCGCTTTAAGATTTCTACCAAGACGGTGTCACAAAGCCAGCTTTTGCAGTTCTTCAAACTCAGCAGCCGCAATGAGAAATTTGATTTGGTTATCAACATCAGAGCACTAGACGTGAGGCGAGATGAAACTTGACTGCAGTCGAGGACTCTTTGCCAAGCAAAATACGAATCACAGGCATCCCGGCAAAATTTACACACGTTTCTAAACTTAAAGAGTTGTGGTATGGTAAAATGTGGAAATATATGAAGAAACACCACATCTTCCCAAGGTAGACGAGAGAAATTCGCCAAATTCGATCGGGAAAACGAGGAACGAACATCCGCCATCTTGGTTTATATTATTATGGGACCCTGGGGACGAGGTTGTGCTGAAGGGAATCTGGGAACTAGCCAACCTCGTTCCAAGTCTCCGCGCTGATTTCTTCTCCAACCTGGGGATTTCGGACATTCTGCTGTTTCAGGAGCCCATGGGCTCCTGGCTGTTTTTATCATGTACAGAGTTATTTTCTCGGGTAGGTTAGATTAGGGTTAGGGATGGTTTGGAACTTCCCTTTGATAAATCGTGTTCACCTTCACCTCTGCTGTGCGAAGGTAGGAGCTCCTGGCGAAGTCGAAGTGGGTGGGGGTGGGGTGGGACCGACATGGGTTAAGACTTAAGAGGGGTGGGGTGAGGTAGTCATCGTGTATCGATTGCCGCGTTTGTTTCACCGCTTTATATAATTTAATAGTTCATGTTTGTGGCTTCTTTGCGACGGCTACACCAATTTTTTTGAATTCTAACTCTTTGAAGAGTATTATGTCTACACGGAACTGAGGAGCATCCACTTGTTACGCTATTTTAATACTTTTTTTTGTCAAGCTTGGCAGAAGATTTATGCGTAACACGTGATGAGCGCAAAAATTTGTCAGCAACGCGTGAAAAGCAACTAAAAGACAAATGTAATTTGAGAATTTCTGAAAAAAAAAACATTGTTAACAGTAGATAATAGTATAAGTGTTGCATGAATTTTGCTAAAATTTTTACGTGGAACGGGATCACACCCCCCACCTCTCCTCCTTGCTACCTTCTTTGACGTTATTGAAAGGCATGAGTTTCGTAATCGGTTTATTTATCCTCCGTTTGATTGCATTTGATTGTGAACAATATTTTGTGTTTCTCTGATGTATACATAGAGCCTGTGCATGTTATGGAGTTGACTGCAATCATAACACTTTTTTTGATTCTTTGTTACAGTAGTACTACCATTATTGTTGTGGCAGGCTTAACAACCTTTGCCGATTACGTCATCGGATGTGATATTTCACACTGACCCGTGTTGATCCACTTGTGGTTGGTATAGTTATGTTACGTCATCGAAACAACAACATGTTTTGTTTCAGTCTAGTTCCTCTGACCTGATGCTACAGTTTTTTCACTTTCATTCATATTGATTGGGTCATCAAACAACTAATTATATCTTGGAATTTCATTCAACAGACACAGTGTCGTCACTTCGAACTGTCAATTATAAATTTCCATAAATGGGGTGATGTTTTCAATAAGAACTTCAACCATTTCCGTTCACTGTCTGTATGTCCTGAATTGTTCGCCCATATGTGCCCCGGCATTGCTGCAAATTGACCTCCGGGAGTGAATTGAGCATTTTGATTCTCGTCGATTCTTTGTGATAATAATCATTCGAACAGCAACCTCTTTCGACCGTAACCGGCTAATTCAGCCATCTATTTCGTCCACCTCACTACACGGCAGGTTTTGTGGCAGATTAGGCAGGTTCTCTCAGTGTACTGAAGTATAGAAGGTCACCAACGTTTGGCAAGGCGAGTGTGTGAAGGTATTTTTTGCTTTTATTCAGCGTTTATTACAAGACTGTCCTTTTACTAAGTCGTCCTTTGTGCGAAAGAGTTTTGCTTTGCCAGGAATTAATTTGCGACTTTACTGCGGCCATATTCTGCGGCATACAGATATTTTTACCTTGAGCAACGTTGTTTCTTTCAGTGATGACATCATAGCATATGTAATAGCCTGTATTAACTTACATTTCACTGATTTTGTAATTTCGTGCAAGTAAATTCTATCCAGTAATTCAAAGTTATCATATATTCAGATTGCTAACTTATGCTTCAGCAATACGTCTAGTCGACTTTTGTTTTCGCTTTTAACCAACCCGTATTTCAACAATTCGGCATGTTACAGTATAATTATTATTTATTGCTAATATTTTGACGTACATGTTGTTCTTCAACCTGATAAATTTACTACCTTCAGGGGGCGCTTCTGAAAAGTTCTTTCACAGCCGGTGATCAAGTCGAGAAAGGTTTTCTTTTGTAGAATGTCTTTTGTATTTGCAAATCCGCCGCGATTTAGCGGTCATTTTAAGTAGAAGTAAACTTAAATCAAAGCAAATATGCCTGCCGTGCCAAGTAATTACTAGCGTTTAAGCAATTACCATTACAACAATTTCAAAGGACTTGTGAAAACAAAAATTGAGTTGCTAGTGAATTAGCATCTAAAACAATAAAATTAGCTTCATTTAATTGCATTTCAAGAGCTTTAATCCCATAACTTTGGAATACTTTGTAAAGGGGAATATTTTCTGCGCAGGAAGTTTGTAAGCTTTGTAAACTCCATCAAAATGGAAAGTTGAATCAAAACAAGGAATATTGAATGAGTCGGTTTAAGTCGTCAAGGAATCTTACCCAAGAATAACATTTATATGTCACGGAAAAATAAATAACAACATCGGTTGTTTTTTAGTTCTGATGGACAGTACGGGACCAATACATAAATATTTCAGAATAGCACCAATATTTTTTCGACTAGATTAAAGGACTCGGAGAATCAAAAAGAGAATTAAGTGTTATCCTAGTGTAAATTTTTAGCGTAAATCGGTGTTTATCATAGATTTTTGCCAGACATTATTTTAGAAGACTGACTTAACACTTTTGCTCTACTGTCCTTACTTCACTGTTCAATTGACAAAAACACACACACTCTTCCCCTGAAAGGTTTCCAAACGATATCATGGAGCGAGAGGGGAGAGAGGGGGTAAAGTCACTCTTTTCTCTCACCCGCGCTCGTAGACGTTTCACCCTGTTGATCTGACTGGGGGTGGGGTGGGGGAAAGGACCGCTTAATTTTTGCGGCGGTTACAGTTAAACTCCGGTTATGATTCTTTTTTTTTTTTTTTTTTTTAATACTTGTTGGAATTAGGACCATTTTGATATATTATTTGCTTAACGACAGTCTATTTTAAACTTCTCAAATTCGAAAACCATAACCTACGAAGTACTGTTAAGTCTACAAGCTGGTGTAATAAACTCCATAAAATAACCAACTATAATTAAAATAATGAAGTTTACTCTTCGGTAGCGAACTGTTCGGTTTCGAACCCGATTACTTGTTTTTCTCTGGATTCATCTCTGGGTGCTTGTTTGTTCGAGAATACTAGATAATCAGATTTTTATTTCTTGGTGATTTCCTCCTCCTTTTTTCCACAAAAAGTCTAAACAGTCAAACTTGGTTACTGACAGATTGCGCCTTCCACAATACGCTGGAGAAAGTTGAAAACGCAGCTTTATTTCTACAGTTAGGCCTACCGTCCGCACTAATCCGTCGCGGAAATGGAGCTTTGAAAATGCTTTTCAAACCGGAGAAATCTGAAAACGCCGGGAAAAAACATTTTGAAAGTTGAGCTTTCTCGTGTGATTTCCCTTACCGACTTTTCCTCAAATGATTTTTGATTGACCGAGTTTTCCTCAAAAGGATTGTTGCGTTTTTAAATTCCTCCGGCGTAGTGTGGACGGAAAACATTTGATGCGTTTTCGGAGTAAAACCACAGTTTTCAAATTTCTTCAGCGTAGTGTGGACAGGGTTTCAAATGTTTCAGACCGAAAGGAACACTCTTCGCCATATTCGCGTGTTTAAAAACCCGGAAGTATACTTTTCGCGTAACTGAAAAACCGGAAGCTCTTCTTTCTACACTTTTCTGCAGACTTGAAACTGGAAACTCTCCATTCGTACCCGTCAACGCCTTCTATCAGATGCAGACCGCATCATCTCTCAGGGATCATCTCTCTCCCGGGGCTTAGGCTGACGGTGGGAGATGACTGGCATCCCCGGGTCGTCTCCTACGGGATTCCCTGATACCGGTCGGTTAGCAAAGGAGAGTCCATGGTGATATGGCCCTGTATACTGCATATATACCGCTAGGATCTTGCAAAAGCGTCCCGTGTGGAGATGAGTAATGAGAGATGGTACATTTTATGCAAAGGGCCTTTTTTTTGGAATCCTACCCTTTCGGAGTTATTTTGCCCTCTAGGCTTTGAAATTCGGGCTTAATTAATTTGAAACCTGAAATACGCAGTCAAATGCAATGTTTTTTTTTGTTTGTTCTTGTGCGCTAAGTTCGTGTCGGAAGTCTCTGACACTTGGCTGTAAAATGTAAAATTGTAAATATTGTCTAAAACTAGCTGCTGTTTATTTTCCTAAACGCCGTGATTTTTTCTTTTGACCATCTAAGACTTTGGTGAACCATTTCCACACGGGAAAAATAAAAATGTCTCTGAATCGGTGTTTATACAGCCGCGACATTTTTTGATTATTAAAAAAAAAACAAAAAACAAAAAACTGAAATAGTCTTCTTTGAGGTATTTATGTGAGATGCAAGTAACATTTTACCGTTTCAGGCGGCTACGAAATCCATACGACGAGAGCATATATTTAATGCTCTTATTAAAATATGCAAGAAGAAACGTGGGGAAAAAAATTGTCGGCAAGAAAAGAGATAATTTGAATTTGTTATTTCTACCACGGGGACAACTTCCGAATTATCTTAATTTAATTTCATTGTTATTCACGGCTATTAGCAAATGTAAAAACTCTGTATTTCACATAAGAACAACTGAACATTGGTTTTGATTGGTTGAATTTTTCCCGCCATAAGCCTCGAGACACAACACATTTTTGACAGCGAAAATCACCAAACAGCTGTTTTTTCAATTCGCGTCTACGACGCTAAAATTCGAACATTTCTGAGTTTGTTCTATGCCATGGAAGCCAGCGAGAACCGATAAACAACCGAATAACTGTCCTTTTAGAATTGCTTGACGGTTTGAACAGTTCTCGTCCAGTTTTCTTGGTTCAACAACGAGATTCAAGATGATTGAACTTCTCCGTGCGTTGAAGAATTTTCTTCAATCTTCGTCTGGGTAAATATACATCATTTATTTCAGGTCAAAGTGTTTTTCCGCTTCTTTCAAAAACACCATGTTTTCAAGCAGCGTT